GGGGTAGCACATCTTGTTTTAGTCTGAGCACATGAGGAACTATCATTTCTGTTAGAAATAACCCCACATTTTATTTTAAACCAAAATCCACTTTGAGGTTAAGGCTTTGACCAATGGAGTAAGGCTGGTCCTGGCAGGAATTTGTTTGCTACATGAAGTGTTAATTGCTGCGAAAGCTTCATGCCTTGTTCTACTGTGAGATGAGACTTATCTCCTCAGTCTGAACTGCCAGCTCTTGCTGAGAATGCTTCAGAGCTTGCAGACATGTGTAGCTGGCTTGGATGCCATCTCAAAGCTGTTAAATTACCATTTGCACACAAGGAGAGCAGCCCAGCTCTTTTGGTAAGAGCAGGGATCTGCTCTGGGGGTCCAAGTGCAGCTGCTGAGGTGGAGGGGCACTGGCAGCATGTTGGGGCAAAACCCACTATGAGAGGAGGAGAAGCTGTTCTTGCCAAACAGGTTCATGCTTGAACTCCTGCTGCATAAGTTCTCCCATGAGCCTTTCAGTCTTGCAGCTGCAGTTTGGAGTTGTAAACTGTGATTAGTGGCGGGAATGAAGTTTTTTTTTTTCTCCTGTAAAAGGTAGGTAGGTGCAAACCCTTCCCGTGGTAATTTGTTTCACTCATTGCATTAGTTTAGAGACAGGGCTCCCAAGCTTAATTTACTGGGATGCCCTTGGATGCTAAGGCAGCATTTTTATGGTGCAGTTCACTTGTAGTTCTTGGCTGTGTTTGTGAATAAAGTGGACTCTGAAATTGCTAATTTTAGGGAAAATCACAAGAAGCTACAGCAGGGTGTCTTTTAGTACACACCTGAATTGGCCATGCTTGTTACAGAGGGCAGAGCTCTTTAACCTGCAGCTCCAGGTCAAACATGACAAGTCTCATTCTGTAAATCCATGGGCCATCTGTAGTCTTTAGTGGACCTCTTAAAAACCATCAGTCCCTAAGTTCTTCCTTGTACCCACACAGTGGAGTGGAGAAACTGTGGGTACAGAAACTTACCAACTTCTTAATTTCTTGTGTGTTTGTTGTGGGTGGTTTTTTTTTATAAATTGAGAAGAAAATGCTGTCTTCATAAGTTAACATGTCAGGGATGAAGAATCTGAAGAGGCAGAAGTAATGTTTTTTCTTTGAGCTGTTTGGTATGTTAGTGCTCTGCTAAATCTTTTAGTATATGCTTAGAAAAAACAGTGGAGCAAACTTTTGAGGATCTTTTTAAATAAAGCTAGAAAACTACTTCTGCTTCCTTTGAGATCAATGGAGAGAGGGATTTTCTGCTATGAAGAAATAGGAATAGAAGTGCAAGTGTCCTATTTTTCCTGCACAGAGCAAAGAATACATCTGTGGTGCAGTCACTGTGCAGGATCATATCCCTTGTAGGTTCAGACAAGCTGTTCTTACTCGGTCTGAGGAACTGCTGTGTCCCTACACAGCAGTTTTGGGGGAGGTTCCCTGATTACTGGTGATCAGTCAGGCAGTTCTCTGTCCCCTGTGCTATTACATGGCTAACTCAGAGCCACTGTGACTGCATACTGGAAAGGCCCTGTGCAGCACCTTTGGCCTTGCAGAGAGTGCCCCTTAGCAGGGTGAGCTGAACATTAGTTATTCCACCCTTCTATTCCCTTGCCTGCCTTGCCCCCAGCTCCAGGTTAAGTCCTGCTTTAGCTCATAGCAGCCATCTGGCTGGCTGGATCTCTCCTGGCAGGGACTCCACCGCTGCTCCAGAGGCTTGCTGGTCACCTCTGCTCCCTTGCTCTGGACTCTGCTCTTCAGGTTTCCTTAGGTGCTGGTGGAACTGGTTTCTTTTGGCATTCAGTTAGCACCTGGTTCCCTTTATCTGTCCTCCTCCAAAGCCCCTCCAGGGCTGCTGCAGAAGCTTCAACCCCAAGGCCAGTGGCTTTTAAATCTGCTGCTTAATCAAACATGTTTAAGAGGGACTAAGGAAAAGATACTGATGAAAGCATCTTGGAACAGCATCCCAAATCACTGTTATTTGGGTTGTAAAAATAACACGGAGGAATATCATAAGAGGCTTGTCATCAGGTAAGCAAGCTTGACTACTGGGTGCCTCAGTTTATGTGTCCTGGGGGAGGATGGAAGTGAATATTCCCCAGAATTTTCAAGTAAATAGGAGGCAACTTTTTATTTCTCTATAGTTTCTCACTAATGTTTCCAAAGAGAAAAGTGGGTTTTTTCAGTGTTGAGTCTGTGAAGACAAATGAAGACAAATGTTGCAGGAAGTGTTGGTAGAAGTGATTCAAGTTTTCTGTGAAAAATTCCTGTATTCTCTTCTCATGCCCATAGTAATGCTCAGTATATTACTGTAATGTCAGAAATACTCCTTAAAAAATAGCTTGGTCTTTTTTTCTTGTTTAAGCCTAGGCTGTTACCCTTCTGCCAATTTGAGCCAGGACCTCAATAAATTATCTGGCATTTACTCCCTGGTGCATAATGGAAAATGTATTCCTGACACACCAGGAAGCCCAGATCCTGCCACAGAGTGCAAACCTGGCTCTAGTGAATCCTCACTGGATCTGGCTAACAGTGTTCTCCTCCTTGGCTTAACTGCTAGTTTGTTATCTTGGAGAAGCCATAGCAAAAGCATGCTGGAGTTGAATGGGTGCAGTTTCATTTGCCTCCTGAGAATGACTTGCTTTATATATAGCAGCGTGGAAATATTGTAAAACTTTCAGCTGCTAATAAAGGAGCTTTTCTGTGCAAGTTGCAATATAGCACTTATAGCAGCTGGGCAGTATTTGTGCTTTCCCATACCTTCCTAGGATGTCAGATGCCCTGTCTATTTATATTCATCATATATTCACATCTAAATGGACTGTAGTCATTGATTCCTACTTTGGACTTCCTGAATTTCATCTCTGACTGCTACTTTTCCACTTTTAGTTTCCAAAAAATACTTACTGCAAGTTTCTGCTTATACTTACATGCAATTTCCATTCCAATAAGCGTTTTCCTTACAGCTTTCTCACAAATTCAACACTTTGTGAAATCTGCTTTACTTGCATCTCATGGTGCTGTGTGTAAGAGCTCTTAACTCCTATTGACAGGATCATGGTGGCAGTAAATCATGGAACAGAGGAACCATGAGTGATCTGGGCATTGCTTCTGGCAGGGCAGTGTGACTGGGACGTTAATTCAGCTGATTATCTTTCTAAAGGAAATTTGATGCAATGCTTCATTCTCCCTCTTTTTATTGGAGTGTTGAATTACTAGTTCATTTTTTAGATGGAAAAGCCAGGACCCCTACTGGTTTTCATTCTCTGTCTGGTTGCTTGAAGGATAAGATCTTTGCTGTAAACCCCTGGTAGACATTCAGCCTGCTGTGTTCTGCCCTTGGTACCTTTGTTCCTGGTCTCCAAGACAGTCACTAGGCAATGGCATGGCTGGATGTGGAAAAGATTAAGTCTTCTCTCCTTTGAATAGATGGGAGGGCTCCTGCTGGCTCTGGGGCACCTGGGATGTTACCTGCTGGCTCCACGATGTTTCTTCTGGTTCTCTGTGTACTTCAGTTCCTGTGCCTCAAAGGGATGGAAACAGAGGAAGAAAATACTGAAATGCAGCTGGTGCTGTAGTCTGTGGCATATTTAGGCAATGCAGGGTTTATTCTTTCAGGTGAAGCTTTCTACAGCTGCAGAAGAGCTCTTCTGCTGTGTCACAGATCAGAAATAAGAAATATATTAGAAGTAAACTTTGAACTATGTTTGGGGAGGAAAAAAAGGTGCATTATGATGCACTGGACAACCTCAAGCCCTTCCTGACTTCCTTGATGCAAGATGGCTTTGCCTTATGCCTGCTGTTGTTTTTACTATGTCTGTTTTCTCTTCTCCCCCACAACTTGTCTCATTCCCCAAATCATTTTACAGCAGACTTTTCTTAGTCTCAAGTGGCTTTAGCCAAGCTATTTCCTCTCTTTGTGCTTTCGTTTCCCCAGCTGTAAAATGGGGATAATGAGACCTGCTTGCTTTTGTCAGGCACTTAGAGATGTGCTTACGAAATGCGCTATTAAAAGGCTTTCTATGTATAACTGCTATACAAACAGCGGTTGTCCAAGTTTATTTGAATTACTTTATTAAAGTCCAGGATTCTTAGCATCCTTTGTTTTTAGCAGAGGATGTTATTTATGCAGCAAAAATGCCCAAATGTGAAGCTATTGATCGTTGCTGATAAGTTTATGGATATTAAAGCATTAAATCATCACCACCCTTTATCAGCCATTCTGGTGTCTCTGGAAGCTGAAAGTGGTTGTGCATAGCTGGGGCCCTTGATTATCTTGGCGTGATCAATAAAAGGTTTTCAGCAGAAGCTTTTATTGCCACGTGGTTAAAATGTTCTTCCTGTGCATCCTGTACATGATGACTTCAGCTCGAGGAGAAAGAGAACAATCCTTTGCAGGGTAACTGGATTACACAAAGAAATGTAGGCATTATGTTGAGGTAGATATTGACACTTGGAGGTTTTCCCCTCCATCTTCTGTTGCATTGTCTTGGGCTGGGAAGGCTTTCTTGACTGGCATGGTGCTTCTCCAGCAAGTTTTGAGTGTTTTAATTACAGCAGACCCATAGTGTTCAGTGAAGGGAGGAAATGGTTGGAAGCAAAGAGGTAAAATTGGAGCCGTGACCGAGCAAAATTGTTTAAAATCTGTGTGTCTTGTTAGCAGAAATGTGTCTGGTGGCTCTCCAGGGTCTGGTGCCTCATGAACCTGTTCAGGAAGGGAAATGCAGAGTCTGAAAGCATCAGTGCTGAAATGGGTGCTTGGTGTTGTCTGCAGGAAGGCTTTGTTTGTGCCCACTGTCTTCTATTGCTCATCTCTGAAGTCATGCAGGGCTCTACCTGCTGAATGTTGACACTGTAGTTCCAGCTTAGAAATACCTTGAAATATTCCTGTGAATTTAGCATTTTATTTGGCTTATTTCATTGAGAGTACAGTGTGCAGTGTGTCCTCATCAGTAGCTCAACAGCAGCTTTCACTTTGTTTTGCAGACAGTTTCCATCCTGGAGCAGAGGCTGACACTCACTGAAGACAAGCTGAAGGAATGTCTTGAGAATCAGCAGAAAATCATTCAGAACAAAACAAACTGATTTCCTGAGATCAGACAGGAGCTGAAGGCATTGGGAGGTTTGAGATTGTTTGTGTTCCTAACAGACTGTGTGTGACTTGCTTTAACAATTTTGAGCATAATCTATTTTTCAATTGGAATGTATAGTTATTGTATCTGTAAATAGCTTTGTTACTTTACTAAAATAAAAGCAATATTTTATTCATAAGTGTGGGTAACAATTGTGATCTCTTGTGCTTTCCAGCAGCCAACATGTGGACTGAGTACTAACCAGGAAGGTCACATCTCTCCTGTCTCTGGTCCTACTAAATTAGTTTTAAAGTGTGTAAGTAACTTGGAGTTGCCAGATGCCTGGCCCAGGCTGTATTAGGCTTGTTGCTGAGGTGTGTGCTGGCTGAAGGTGAGAAGCAAAGTGCTGTCAAGATATTTGGGGCGGTGGTATTTCACCTCTGGTCTAGGACTATATCAAGCAGGGTTGGGTCCTGTGTAACTGGCATCTGGAAGGGTTTGTCTCAGCTGGGTCTCACACAGCAAATCGGACACAGCAGCTGAGACCCTAGATGATACTTGTGCAGAGGTGATTAAATCTGACACATTTATCCTGCTCCCATGTGCAATATAGGAAAAATGATTGAGGCTGGAACAGAGGCGCCCCAGCCTGTCAGATGCTGGGTGATTTCCAAGGAGATTTTGCTTCATCTTTGCTTCTTAAATTAAAGGCAGGGCAAAGGGACAGGAAGGGAACTAAACACTGTAATGTTTTCTCCATCATGGGACTCCCCTCTTCTCATACTGGACTGCCTTTAATTTTTGCTCATTTTGCAGATGTTTTCACAGTTGAGTAGCTCATCACTGGCACCCTCCTCCCCTCATCGCTCCTCCCGACTTTTCTTTTTCAGCAGGTGTTTAGTATGTAGCTGCACAAGAATTTGGACTCCTGGGAGATCCTGTCTGAAACACCTCTTCTGCTAACACATACTGTTGGTCTCCTTTCTTGCAATAAACTCTGACCCACATTCCTGGAGAAATGACCTGCAGGACCTTGAGCACCTCAGGGTTCCCTGCTCACCACTGTCTGTCTGACCTCTGCAGACAGGGAGGCTGCCTCAGTCCCTGCCCTTGGTGGTACTTGCCAGCCTTGCACAGCTTCCAGGGCCTCCATCTCCACATGTGCTGTGGCACCCTGGATGTTTGCCTGAGGACAGGCTAGCATCCTTCACATGGGCTTTAGCTGGTTTTAAGGCCAGACTGTGTGGTTTTGGCTTTGGGATGGTTTTTGTGTTGCACCTGTTTCTGGGACAGCACCTTGGTGGTGTTAATGCTCCTCATCCAAAATGGGGGGAGCTGGTTGTGTTTTCCTGCCAGCACTAGGAAGCTTCTGGTCTCCTTCCCTCCTGGTCCTTTATACATCTCTAAGAGCCCCTTGCTGGCATGATCACAATATTTCTCTTCTTCATTTGTGGGAGGCTGAGAGCTTTCTCATTTCCATGCTTGGTTGATGATGAGTTTCTCTCTGCTCTGCCACAGACTTTGTTTTCTGTTTCCAGGCTCTGAGTCTGATAAATCATTACTTTCCCTTAATGGAATCAATTCAGTGGTGGTACTCTGTGCTCTTGCTCTAAGCTTTCAGTGGCTTTTTGCTGAGAGACTGACATCATTTTCATTGAAATGAGTTTGTGTGGTGATGCAGATGGGTGGGGAGGAGGGGACTCAAAGATGCTGTGGCCAATTTGCTGCTAGAAAAAAATCTGTTCCTGCCCTGATCTGCTGCCACTGAAACAATTACAAAAATTGGTTGCAAGAACCTAAACTTTCAACTTGATCCTCAGTATTGTGGACTGTCCTTTGGGACTGGGGTGTGGAGGGGAAAATTTAAACATTCCTACATCAGTTTTTGAGCTAAGATGGTCAGATTGTGGTGCTAATAGTGCCAGAGTCATGGATTTGGTCCCTGTATGGGACATTCACTTAAGAGTTGGATTCAGTAATCCTTGTTGGGATTTCCAGAATCCAGAGTCCCACCCAGCTGTGGGGTGGTTTCTGGTTTCTTCCAACTCAGAATATTCTGTGATTTACTTTAAAAATAGCTTTTGCATCCTTTTAATGTGTACTTACTAATGTCTTAGAGACACAGAAGCAATATATAGTATTTTAGAGAGGATTGCAGTACTATTGACAAATTGCATGTATGTTCAGAGGTGCCCACATTTGGGCACTTTAGATACAGATGCTTTTCCTTTTCAGATGTGAGCAAATCCATTTGAAATATGTAATTGTGCTTCTAGAACAGGTTAAGTGCTCAAGTGCTGAGGACAGGTGGGATGTAGGGTGTTGTGTTTTAACCCCAGCTGGCAGCTAATCCCCACACAGCCTCTCACTCACCCCAGGTGGGATGGTGAAGAGAATCAGAAGACTAAAAGTGAGAAGACTTGTAGGTTGAGATAAAGACAGTTGATCAGGTAAAACAAAATGTGAAATTCAGTCACCACTTCCCATGGGCAGGCAGATGTTCAGCCATCCCCAGGACAGCAGGGCTCCATCACCTGTAATGGTGACTTGGCAGGACAAATGCCATCACTCTGAATGCCCTCCCTTTCTCCCTCTTTCCCCAGCTTTATGTGCTGAGTGTGATGCCACATGGTCTGGAATATCCCTTGGGTCAGCTGGGCCCAGCTGTCCTGGTTGTCCCCTCCCAGTTCCTTGTCCCCCAGCCTCCTCTCTTGGGCTGGGGTGAGAAGCAGAAAGGGCCTTGGCTCTGTATAAGCACTGCTCAGCAGCAGCAGCTAAAGCATCCCTGAATTATCAGTTCTGTTACCAGCACAAACCTGAAACAGCCCCACAGGAGCTACTGGGTAGAAAAATAACGCTATCCCAATCAAAAGCAGCAGATTGGGAAAATTGCTTTTCTTAACTTCTTGTTCCATGTTGTTGTTGTAGACGTAACCCAGGGTGGGTGGGAGTGGGAAGTCAGGAGGAGAGGGAATCTTACAACCTCTATATGATTTAGGTGGCAAGGAAGGTAATCTGAAAAGATTTTGACAGTATTATCTACCTTCTTCGTCCTAAACCTTAGCAACTTCATTTTCCCCCTTACAACCCTCTTACCTGGACTAGGATTCAAAATGTACCAGCACTTCTGAAGGCTGGCTATTGCTTGAGAGGTAGGCAAGGCTTGGAAACTACAAGATTGACATTTTAATCCTTGTGCTTAAAGATTGAGCAACAACCTAAAAAAAAAACAAAAAAAAAAAATCCTGAGGAGCCCAAATCCTGTTGCTTGTCTTGTCCTGAGGCTCCATGCTTTATCCACTAAGCACCACAGTTTTTGAGTGCTGAGGAGAGAGTAGCCTCCAGAGTGAGTTAAACCCACTTATATTCTTACATTCATGATCTTTTTTTTTATGTGGGCACATCTGCCGTGTCCCATTTGTGAAGCTGTTAACTCGGGGAGCAGTGGAGCAGCCAAGTGAGGAGCAGCCTGTGCTTTGTCCTTGGGCTGACATGGCCTCTGCTCTGCTTGAGGACAAATCCTGCCTTGAAAGCCTCATGTGGGGAGGCTATGAAGAGTTAAGGATTTTGTTTTGGATCTCCAAGGCACTGTGGAAGCCAAGTTCTTAAAAAAGTAGTTTAATTTGTTGCCATTACATTTGCCAGACATATGACCTCACTAAACTTTCAGCAAGGGTTCTTTGTGCCGAGATTGGTCCCTGGGGAGCCCGGTGCTGCTGCAAATGGCTTTTTGGCTGCTGTGAGTGTGGAGCATGTTAAACACAACCGTGATCTGTGAAAAAGTAAGAATCTTCAAGCACTGCCCACTTTCCTTCCTGTCTGGGAGCTGGAATTGGACAGCAGAGCTCATTACTGAATAGGCAGAAACAGGAGAGCACTGTGGTACTGACTCTCCTGGCCAGGAAATGCAATGGCCAGGAGCATCCTCTGCCCACAGGCTCGTCACTGGACATGAGTCCACCAGCTAACCAGGAAATAAAATCCAACTATGATCTAAGTAGCTGGGCTAAAACTAACCAGCCTCGTGGTACAAATCACTTATTATATAACCTCTTTAAAGAGCTGCTTTTGAAGGAAATGTTTTTTGAAACACGAGTGAGTAGGAGGGGAGGGAAGCGAATCATTTTACAAAGGTTTGTCACTCTGACGTGAGAGCAGGGCTGTGTTTCTTCCCTTGCTTTTAGAAACGGTTGGTCTGCAAGTGCTTCTCAAGTGGCAGGACCTAATCAACTGTAGTTTTGGAAAGGAAATCAGTTGGGAAAGAAGATTCTCTTATTGATACTCCTCTGTGTATTTGACCTGGATTTAGTGTGCTGTGGGAAATTTTACGTGTATCTCAGGGAAAGCTGGGATTTGTAGCTCTGCAACAGAGCTGTCACTGCAGGCAGGCAGCACTCTTCAGTCCCCCTGCTCTTGTCAGGGGAGATGTCTATAAATTACTTCCTCTGTCAAGGTACAGGTTCCATGAAAGAAGAGCTTGTCAGAGATTTGCGTGTGGGGTGTCACTGAAGAGAGTGATGGGTTTCCAGGGCACAGGTGTCTGGTCTCCCTTACTTTCTCCCTGTCTCCTTGTATCACAGCAGCCAGTGCTGCTGGTAAAGGTGTGCTTAGAGCCTTTGTGCTGCACAAGTGGTGGTTGTTGCCTCAGGTGGGGTTTGAAGTTGTCTGGTATCAGTTCTGAGTAAAGGTGAAGGTCCATGGCTAAGCCAGCAAGCAGGGAGAGTGCTGTGGGGTGGTTTCTGGTGGGGGATGAGCATTGTGGACACCTGGACGTGTTCTGGCAGAGGGTCATTTTCTGCTTAGTTGCAGCTGAGATAGGCCAGGTGACCACTGCTCGAGGAATTTGCCATCTGCAAGGAAGTCTTTCCTCAGTGACCACCTTTAGATTTCTTTATACTCACTCCAGCCCTTCCTCCCTGATAATGCAATACAGCTGGAAACACACCATTCTCTTGTCACAGAAATGCTAGGCTTGAATCAGTGCTGTGACCCCGTGCCAAAAACCTGTCACCCCTGTTCTCCCTCGCTGTTTCTGTTCCCTGCAGGCACCTTCCATGCAGCTAATAACTCACTGCTGCCTTCCAGAGACCAGGCAAGCTGAGGATACCGTGGTGCTCTGCTTGGCACAAGGTTTTCTGCAGATTTCCAGTGGGGAATGCTTCTGAGGCTGATCCTGCTTTACTGCGAGGGCTTGTGGCTTTGTGGAGCATGTGCCACTGGTGGTAGCTGTTCTTGCAGCTGGTGACTGAAAGGGTTAAACTAAGCAGCTGCTTGGATGGAGCTCCTGCATGGCCTCCCTTCCCTCTGGAGTGGCTGCTCTTGGCAGTGGTTCCCTCCTCACGTTTTCACAGCCAGAGCTGAGCTTTGGTATGCAGCTCTTCCAACTGGAGGGAGGACTTTGCCTGTTTCAGCTGAACTGAGCACCTTGGAATATGCTGGGTACCACGAGATCATCCTGGCAGCATGGTATGGGCAGGGCACCATGGGGACATTGCAGTTCCCCTTGTGTGAATCCACTCTGCCACGTGTAGATGCCACAAAGGCTCTGCCTGTCTGCTGTTACACCTGGTCTGTGTGGTGGAGCAGGCACCTTGTGCTAACCAGGGTCAGCTGAAATGGTTTTCATCCTGTGAAAGCCTAGGAATATCCTTTTCCTTTTGTTCTTCTAGGCTGTGGTTACTGCAGAAGATACTGTTCTTTTCATCCTGGGAGCAGTAGGTGTTGATTTCTGTGTTAGAGTTTTCTGATACGGGCCTGTGGCTGGAAAAGTTTCTCCTTCCATGTTGGGTTCCCTAGGCTAGGAACTTTTTCCAGGAGTTATTGATGAAGATTTTGTCTTTTGGCACTTGTCCCCTGTGGACTGATGTGGACATCAGTCAGTAGAACCAAGACAGAGATAGCTGTGGTGTTGCAGAAACTGCTGAGTGCTCCTGGAGTGAGAAAGGCATGCTTCAAGACTCCTGTTTGTAGAGCAAGACCCCCAAGGTGACCTGTTTGAATCTGGCCCTATGTGCTGTTAAGTTAATTGACAAATAACTCTAATGCCACTTGATCTCCTGCTTAAAGATCAATGCTCGACTGCTGGGCTATTTTTTTCTTTGTAGCTCCTGTTTGTTTCCTAAGGGAGAGATTATTTGACCAGTGTATTTGTGTGATGTGTTTCTTTCTTTTACTCTATTATTTATTAAATCAATAGATCTTAAAAAGGAACACTTACCACAAAATGTCTGGAGCAAGGTGTGCTGAGGAAAAATTAAAACCTGCCCACTTGCACAGCCTTTCCCATCAGCTCAGCATCTTTGCTGAAGAGAAGAGGAGCTCACCTGAGCACAAAGAGGTGGATTGTCCATGAAAATGCCTTCACAGCAGCCCAGGTGATTGGGGCAGAAGCAGAAATTCTTGCCTGAGTACCTGCAGGTCACACAGTGAAGCAGGGCTGGAAATAAGGACGGGACATGAGACTGGTGTTCTAAATTTGGCAGCCCAGGTGGGAGATGGGAGGTGTGGTCCATGCTCTGTGCTGCAGAGGATGCTGAAAACTCTTAGGATACCTTTGAGAGAGGCTGTTGGTGGTATTGAGCAGGCTCAGAGTGCTCTGGAGACATTGCAGCTGTGGTGAGGGCAAGAAACAAAGCTGAGCAAGTTTCTGTGTCTGGTCCCTTTTCCCACCCTTTGATAGCAGTGGGTCTGTTGGTTTTCCTGTTTCCTGTGCTCCCTACCCATGGGTTGGCAGGGCATTTTGGAGGTTACGTTCTTTGCTGTGATTCCCCGACTCTGCCTCTCCTCACTGTGTGCTGCCTTCATTGCCAGCTCACAGGAGAAGTGAAGATGAAAGAGAGCAGAGATGATTATATTTAATAGCAGTGAAAATCGGTGTGGTGATTGAGGGGCTGTTTTCCTTCCTGCTCTCCCACCTATTGAAGTTGGGAGGCAGCTTTGAAATCTCACGTAGTCATTTGGCCAGCCCTGTACCAGGCACCACTATGGCACCAGAGGGGAGGGGAAAGCTGGGTTGCATCTGTGTTGTCTGGATTTTCCAGCCTGGCCCCAGTAGACAGGAAAGTCTTTTTCTCCTCTCACTTAAATGAAAACCCCTTCGCCCCCTCTGCAAAGCGCCTCTGCCCTAACGCCAGCGTTGGCTGGCCTGCCTTTTGGATGCAAATACTTGCTAATTTACAAGTTGGGAAAGGAGCAGCAGAAAGTTAATGAAGGTCAGCTGAAGTCCTCTTTCCTTAATCCACCCCAGCAGTTCACAGTCTGGATCAAAGAGCTGTGGGATCAGCTGCCACTCATCCTGCAACAAGCTGCTCTGGCCCTGTCGGGGGAGCCTAGGCTCTGGAAGAAGTTGCTGCAGGTGGAGAGGTGCTGAAATGCCAAATGATAAATCTTCAGCAGACACTGGAGAAGATTTTTCTTCTCTTCAAGACTGGCATGTAATGGATGGTGTGGTATCTAAGGTGTTCAGAGAGCTCAAGGCTCAGTGAGTGACAAAGGGACTGTGACTCCTGTGGCTGGAACCAGTGTGTCTGTGTGTCTTGCAGTGAGTGGCAAGGCAGTGCAACCACCAAGCCCAGGAGCAAGTGCATGCTGTGGCCTTGACAGAAACCTCTTTAAAAGCATGACTGTGATTCTTATCCCAGAATTTATTTAATGTCCTAGGACCCCTTCCTATCCTTCATCAGCTTCCCATCACACTGGACCAAACACAGCTCACTGTGAGTGTCTTTCCCCCAGCCTCTGCAGCCAGTGTGCAGGATTTGGCAGTGAACCAGCTTTATTCCTGATGTATGGCATACTTACCTCTCCTGTGGCTACCTGTAACCTGCCTCCATCCTGAAACCCTCCTGCCTGCACAGACTAGTCAGACTTTCCTTTCTTGCCCACCAGGGAGATGCTGAATCTGGCTCCTCCTCCTCCCCAGGTATTTCTGCTTTCCCCAAGGCATGAAAATCACCCCAGGGCTTTTGATGAGCTGTGGCTTCTGGAATGTGCAGAGCAACCCTTTGTTGGCCACTCCTCTCCTTAGGATCCCTTTGCTTTTTTCCTGCTGAGCAATCTTTGTTTTCATTGAGTGAGAAATTTTATATGATTTAACTCTTTAATTAAGTTTTTTTTTTTCCTTTCTTGCTGTTGCTCACTCTTAAGATGCATGGAAATTGTTCTTAACATTTGCATCAGTTCTTCTGGAGTCAGTTTTTTGGCAAACTTAGCAGTGCTGCTATAATCCATCCACATCTATCTGCACTGCTGTAACTAATAACTCCACTGAAATCCCTGGGGTTAGTTAAAACGAGCCCCCGTGGCTAAACAAAAGGGGTTTTGGAAGGGGTTTAACCCTTTGCCTTCCCAGCTGCACAGATTGAGTAGTGAAGTCCCAGCTGGCTGCCTGGGAGCTTTGCCTCACTGGAGGGGAGATCAGGTACCTACGTGAAGGTTTGCTCAGAGCTGGGGTTGGAGCCAGATGGCTCTGGAGGGCCCCTTCAAGGTTATCAGCTCTGATGAGGGGTCCAAATGCAAAACACGTGAGTGCAGAGACACAGCAGTGAAATTAGTCTTGACTCAACACAGCATCTTTGCAATCATTTATAGGACTGTTGTGCTGGAGAGGCTCTAATGCCTCCTTTCCTCTCAGTCACAACACTGTTTTTCCTTTTTCCTAAGCCTTTGCTTGAATTTTCATCCTGGCTGGATATAAAGCTGCCTTGTGGCCTTGCAGGATATATTGCATGTTGTCCCTGTAGCTGGTGGTCAAATGGGTCCTGCCACATCTGACAAAAATGGGCTGGTGGTGCAAAATGTGGAAGATGTTTTTTCCAGGAGGCTTTGTTAGGTCGTGTTTAATGTTGTGGTCTTTTGTTCTCATGCAGGGCTGAAGTCCATCAGGTGGTACAGACTCTGGCCCAGAGTGATGACATGCCCTTGGAAACCTCTCATTCCCCTCTATCATGACAGCCAGGTAAAGCCAGGAAAACATGTCAGGAATGCTAAGGAAAGCAACAGATGTGAAAATTTAAGAGGAAAAACATGCCTGCAGCCCCCTGGAAAGCTCAGCAGGGGCTATGGGCCCACTCTGATTTTTGTTTGCCTCTATGTTCCTGTAGCCTCTCAAGAAGCCTGATCTGACTGAGAGCTGTGTGCACTGTGTTTCTCATCCCACCCTGGCAATGGGCTTCTGCTGAGGTCCCAGTTGGTGGGTTTTGCAAAACTGCTTTCAAAAGAATTTCACAGCCAGTCCTGTGAGACAACACAGGGCTAGAGGGAAAACCATGTATCACTTGTGTCAAACTACATCCAACAGTCTGGGACAGTGCTGGAAACAATCCTTTTCTCCAGTTGATAATCCTGGAGCCCCACCACATCCCTGCTGGAAGGTTTCTCTGCTCTCCTGTCTGGTGGAAGCTGTCACATAGATGGGATATCTCATAATCCCAGCGTTGCTCAGGGATCCTTGGGATCTTTGCTGGAGACCTGTGAGATAGTAGAGGTCATACTCTGACCACTCTTCATGGGCAGGGATCCTGACTCACTGGAAGGTGGAGTGACTTGGTTCAGACCAAGATGACAAGCCTGCAGGTACTTGTGCTGTGACCTCCAGCTGGGACGTGGCGAGGTAGGTTTGGTTGAAGCTGGCTGGGTGCTGCTGGCAGTGTGAGTGTGGCGTGGCTGGAGCATCCAGCTGTTCTGCCCTGCCTCAGCTGGCTTTTGCAGCCTGTGTGGAGCTCAGCTTTGCAGCTGCAGTGCCTGAGCCAAGATCAGCACCTGTGTTTCTGTTTCTTTTGGGCATCCTGTGGGACACTTGTGGCTTTGCCTGCTGGAAGGCGCCCCAGAGTTTGGGCGCTGGGTAGGGATGTGGTGTTGCAGCCAGAGTTTGGTTTGGCTCTGGACTCCCTGTCCTGAGCTGGAGCTGGTGACTCGACCCTGGAGACCTAAGCCTTTTTCTCCATAGACAGGGGTAATATTTCTATGAAAGGGGTGGTGTGGAAGTCAAAGCTAAGTGGTACCAGAGCTACTGATGAAAGACCTTCTTGTGTGGAAAGCTACAAGAAACCCCGCTGTGGTGATGTTCTCCCCTCTGTTGCTACAGTCCAGGAGATGCAAATGTCAGTCAAAACAGAGGCTGCTGAGGGTGAACCAGTCTCTTTGGAGATTGCAGAACAGCATCCTAAAGACATGTCCTCACAGTTGCCTGCATCCCTCACCAGTGTCTGTGCTTGGCTGAGGAAATAGCTCATGGTCGTGTTGAAATGTGTTTGGTTGGGTGATAGCCCAGGTGCAGAGCTCTGGGTGCTGTTTCATTTCCTGTGCATCTTACGCTTCATCTCTCAAGTGCTTTCTCAAGAGGCTTTCTTGTCTCCCACACTAAACCTCCTCCCTTGTTGACTCTTCACAGGATGGTTTCTACACTTGGATTTTGTGTCTTCTTCCTCTTTGTCTCCTGAGGGCTTCATGCCTGTTAGGTTCACTGGAGACCTCTGAGAAGGCCAGGATCCTTCTCTCCTTTTTTTCTTCCCTGCAGACTGCATCTCTTGATAAAAGGCCTTTCTCCCTATTGTGTTGTGCTGAGTGACCAGGAGTGTGTCCCTGCTTCAAGTCCATTTTCTTGACTCACCTTGAATATGCTCAGAATTTGCTAGGATTTGCAGTTCCTGACAACCACATCTTTCCTCAAGCATTGGGTGTGGAACAGACTATCACCACCACTTTGAGACTGGTTTTCCTGGTCGTGAGCTTCAGGTGCAAATCCCAAATTTAGGTTTTCCATCCCAGCCTCTCACCATGCTCCCGCTACTCTCATCAGCCAAGGCTGGTGGGAATCTGCCATTCCAAGCAGGATGCTGGGATGGGGCAGGCAGCAAGGTCCTCTACCATCAGTACTGTGTGGTTTGGTGACTTGGCTTGCTCTTGGAGTGCAAGAGGAAGCATCTCCTGTTGCCCAGCAAGTGCCATACGTGGCGTGCTCCTGATAACGTGCAGTGTGAAGTCACCTCTCAAACCTGACCCCTGGAGCTCGTGCTGATGAGATCTGCCCTGGTTGGTTGTGTTACACCTGCATTGCACAAAGTGGGTTGCTCAGGCAGTGTTACATCTTCCTCTAATGCATTTGGGGTGACACCCACACTTTCACCATTGCCCAGGGTGGCTCAGGGCACAAGGAGAGGCTGCTGCAATAGGCAGGGGAAGGAGCCAGGAGGTGAGGCTCCTGCTGCTTAGGCTGGCTGCAGTGGAGTAGAAGGATTTCAGACAAAAGCCACACAATTTGGATGTACTCAACACTTCCCCTGAGCTTGTGAGCTTGACCTGCCCCCAGGCAGCTCAGTTTCCCCCACCCCATGCTGTGTGGGGCTGTGCAGCTGAAGGAAGCTGGGGAGGTCGTGTCCTCCCCCAGCCACAGGGGAGGATTAGCTCCCTAAACCATGCCAAGACAATAAGCTGCAGATCAAAGGCAGATGAGGTTGGCCAAGCTGTGTGCACTTCATCTGCCCTTCATCACCCAGTGCTCCCTGGATCCTGCCTGGGGGTCCGTGGGTCATCCAGCGGTGTGGGAACAGTGCTTTGGTGGTCTCTGTGTGCAGATTGTGGGGACAGATTAGGCTGCATGGGAGGCATAATCAGGAGATTATCATACCTTCTCTTATCTTAAATGCCATCTCTTATCTAAATGCCCTCAGTTGTGCCTTCTGCAACACAAGCTTACAGGTTTGAGTAGAAGTGGGCTTACCAGGTGGTTGCTGTGGTGTGGCTGGGTGAGCAGCAGATGCCTGTGAAGGGAAGCTTGCAATAACTTGTCTTTGGTGCATGATGCTTGTGGAAAGCCTCTGGGCTGTCTGACTTCAACTGTTTGCTTCCCCTGGACCCCATGCTTGGAGTCTGTGTACTGGCCTAGAGAGTGAGGTTTCATGTTGTGGCGCTGAAAATGGCACTCAGAATATGGTGAGTGAAAGCTGGAGAGCGTGGCCCTCCAGCTTCACCCCAGTTTTCTAGAACAGAACATCTGCACTGTTAGGAAATCCTTAACTGGTGTAAGCTCTTGTTGAAGGAGCTGGGTTTTACTGCAGCAAGAATGTCCTCAGCCCAGGGCAGATGCCTGCTCTTCTCAAAGCCCATCCAGTGTTTCTGCACAAGCTCATTTTGTGTGGGCTGTTTCAGAGGTTTAACAGTTATTAAATTTTATGACCCAGGTCAGTAAAACTCCTTGGCTTCCAAGCTGAAGGAGCTGATGTCGCTGGAGGCAGTGCTGAGTGTGCCATGGTTATGTACCTTCCATCAGGAACTGAGGTGGGTCTAGAAGAAATGCTGACTGCCTTTCTTGAGGTGCTTGAGAGCTGAGGTAGAGCTGACAGCTCTTGGAAATGTGTCATACCTGTTGCAGGTGTTGAGGAAGTGTTTGAAGTACATGCTACACACAAAACTGTGCCTCTGCCCAGGACCAAGGTGGGTTGTGAATCGTGCCAGGGTACACAGTCACTGGGCAAGGATGGACAAGTACCTTGGTGGAAATAGTTACACTATTGCATTCTCTGATTAGTTGTCTTTCCTAATTTCCCACTCCAATTCTGACATGTGTGGATAGAAAAACAACTGTGAATCTTTTCCCATAAAAAGTGCCTTTGTTTTCCCGAAGACTCCAGATCTGATAGAAATGTTTTGGGGTGGGAGGTAGTAATTGCCCTTAGCACAAAGTCATTTTGCAATGCAGGTATGAGGTGTAATGGCCACATTCATTATCAGGAACTTGGAGCCTCATTGCTCTTTTAGAGGTAATTCGGATTTTTTTTCTCTGTTACATAGATACGATAGATGTTTCTATATACTTAGTTGTGTTGTGGAGGAGGAATCAAGCAGCAATTTTCTGGTTTTCATTCATATTTAGAGACCTCTGGGGTCTTTGAGGGGAAAAAAAATACTGGTTTTTTTAATGACAAAGAGAAAATTTATTGTCCTGTTTGAAATTGCTTGTTTCTTATTGCTTGGTTGTTCTCAGCCTTCCAAAGGACTGGTGGTTATGATTTCCCTGCTCTTGTTGAAATATAATAGACTTCTTATTGGGTAGCATTGGGGAAAATTTTCTTTAGCAAAGGTGGAAATTTCGGGAGTCAATTTAGCACTTTGGTGGGAGTCATTCTGCAGCATCAGCAAGATGGTATTTGCTGCCAGCCAGCATCTATGGATTTGCTGTGAGTGAATTTGGGTGAAAGATTCGGGTGAACAGCAATTTTGCAAAAAAAATGTCACTTCTTTTAACCCTGAGCCCAACACAGATTTAGCCTGGCTTTGGTCAGGGCAGTTCTGGGATTTTTCTTCTCCTCTGTGCTCAAAGCACTCCCTTGGAATTACATCCAGGTGCAACTTCCTTTGGCTTCCAGCAAGATCTGAATCCATTTTGCCCAGTTCCTAAATCCTACTCATCTTGTTTTATTCAGCATTTTTTCAGTCAAGTAAGAAGCAGCTCAGTTTGTCCTGTGTGGAAGCTCATGAAGATGGGAGAAGATAAACTCTTGAATGATCAAGGCATTAGGACATCAGAGCTAATTTCCAAGATGTCAGGAAGGAAAAGGCTCTCTAAATCATACACCCTGGGCTTGGCAAGCTGTTGCTGTGATGTTACCTGCTTGGCTAGTGACACCTGCATGCTTCCCCTCTGGCCTCGGATGACAAAATGACTCATTGATGTTTGTGGTGTCCCCTTCCAGGTTATGTGGCCCTTTACCACAAACCTTGGAAGGCTGCTGTGATCCTTGGGTTGAAGAGGAAATCAAGGAGAATTCAGGAACTTTTGTGCCCCCGGAAAATCCTTGCAAATTTTTGCCCTGGACTGAACAGCAAGGGAAAAGTGACCAAATAAATTGGAGCCCTCCAGAGCTGAAATGTCTCAGGCACAGCAGCTGTTCAGGGCAACAGAACAACTGAACCAGACTCCCTTTTCTCACACACAGACCTTCCACTTAGACTCTCCAGGGAACAGACCTGAAGTCTAATTCCAGAGATCTGGGCTGGAGGACCTGTCACTGGGGACAAGTGCAGCGAGGATGTTGTCTACCCTTCTGGGTGTTGAGATGTGATGATGCAGCCTTGTGTAGGTGTGAAATGTCAGCAGTGAATGTTTACCCAGGGTGCCTGACATGACGTGAAAGGACCTGCCTGTCATTTTGGACCATCTGTTTCTTGCTGTGAGGTGTCTCTTGCCTTTCCTGGTGTCTTCCTCAGCCTGGTTCTTCTCTTTCCAATTACGGTCCCTTACTGCAGGTGCTGCTCTTTCCCTCTTCCTGGTCTTCTATCCTAAGCCTGCTCTGTAGCCTTCTTCCCACCAACATACTGGTATCAGGTTTGGGGTTGGATTTTTGTGGTGGATTTGATTCCATGAAGCAGCACCTCTTTTGTGAACTTGTTTTTCGTCATTTAAGTGGTTCTTGCTGTCTCTCCCTCCCCTTGGCGTGAAAGAGATACTCTCAGGCTCTGCCTGTCTGACTTGCACTTGCTCAAGCCCTGGGGACTGCAGAGCTTGTCCTGACGTGATCCTGCAGCAGTGGAGAATACCTGTAACACAGAGGAGAGAGCATTCATTGCTGGAGTAACCAGGGAAATGGGAAATGCCTGCCTGACTGCATTAGGGCCCTTATTGTGGCTCTCCCAAAAGACTCTGCTTAGGGAAGAAGCTCCCCTGGTTGTTTCCCCTCCTTATTCAGGGCTTAGCAGCACTGTAGGAGAGTGTACTTGTGCATCAGTGGGAAATTCTGACCCTGACCCCACAGCACTGGGTCCCTGGTGCAGGGGGAAGGGGCCATGTGCTCACTGCAGCCTCATGTCAAGTAACTGTCATTAGTTCTGCCTTGCCTTTGGTGCTGGGGAAGGGATCATCCCTTTTTCTGCCACCTCTGAGACAGGAATTTTGTTCTGCTGTGGGGATGCCTTTCTCTAAGGGAAAAGGGGAAGACCCAGGAGGGGCAATGCCAGAAAGGTCTGATCCTGCCATTTCTCTCCCAGCCCTGTGTAGTGCTGGGCACCACCACCACCGTTTTTTGGTGGGCACGGGGTGTCCTGTGCCTTGGCATCTCTCCTCTGGCCAAGGCTGGTTCTTGCATTGTGGTTTCTCCTCCCTGGGCAGGTGATGAATGAAGAAGAACATTTCCCAGGACATCTCTCCTCGGTAGGCCTCTACGGTGCCGTATTTATTTTGCAGCATTGATGCGTTGTGCACTTTTCTCTCTGGCTGATTCAAGCAAACACACACAAATAACACTGCTTTTATCTGCCCAGGTCTAGACCCTGCTCAAAGCCTCCTCTTGGCATGACTCACTCCTGGGCAAGCCCTGGAGAAAATAGATGTGGGAATTCAGTTGCAGATCCCATCCTTTTCTCACGGCCCTGCGGTCAGCTGGCTTTGTCAGATGTGCTCCAGGTGGTTGACAGGAGAGCAGGGTGTTTCGAGCAGGAGCCTTGCATCAGCCAAGTGTCTCTTCCTGCCTCTTCTGCCTGCTCCAGCCCTCCCAGAGGGATCCTTCTGGTTGACAGTATACTTGGTCCCACAGCCAATTTGGGACACTTTCTATCAGCTGTGACACTTGGGCTCTGGTAGAGGTGTTGGTGTAAACTGGGTTCTTGATCCATTGAGCACTCCATATGAAGTAATTCATAAAAAATATGCACTGTAATTTTTGTTGATGTCCTGGCCTTTGCAGGTTTCTGCAAGGGTAAATCTTGTTCACTGAAAGTTCTGTTGTTTTGGTAGAATGCCTGTTTTTATCCCCCTGTTTTCCTTTCTCCTGTTCTGCCCTTCTGCGTCCTCCTTTTTAATCCTTAAGTAAAACCTCATCATAGACTAAAATCCATATTTTAGGAAAAACAACACATAAAATTGAAGAGGGAAGCTGGAATCCAATTTGATGCATAATAAATAATCCTGGACTCAGAAAAGCCTCAGCTATTTTTCTCAAAGCAGCCAGTGCACTACTGGCTTGATTTGCTGCTATAAATATTGGCCAGGTTCTTTCAACCCTTGGGAAGGTAAATGAGAGGCTGTTGCCAGGTTTGGTTGGTATTGCATGTCTGGGATGATGAAAGGTCCAGAGGAAGGGGCAGATGCGTAATTGTGAGCAGGGAGCTCAGCCATGCGGGCTGGCAGCTCAAGGTGCAGCACAGAGCCGTGTGCTTGATGTGGGATCTCCCTTTGCCACAGCTCCAACACCAGCCTGGGAGATCACTTGTGCTGGCTCCAGTATGGCAGGATGCTGAAAGCCATCCTGCCCACACGAAGAGCTGAACCTCGGTGACAGGCACTGGGTGCACCCCTGACATTTCCAGCTGCTCAAGGCTGAGGGGTTCGGAGCACTGACATTTCCCACACAGCCAGGAGTGATGGAGCAGTTGGACATCTATGGGCAGGTTGGTGCTGTAATGCCCTTCCTTCCTTCCTTGGGCCTTAGAGAGCATTTTTGCTCAAGTCCCACGTGTGACAGCTGAAGCTTTGTTCTCTCTCTGTGTTCAGTAAATCAAGTTTTTATTCTGCTTTCCTTCACAATCTGCATCATCATAGAGCCGTGGAACGGTTTGGGTTGGAATGGACCTTAAAGATCATTGAGTTCCAGCTCCCTGCCATGGACGAGCCCATTCACTAGATGAGCTTGGTCAAAGCCCCTGTGCAATCTGGCCTTGAATGTGTAACCCTTTCTGCTTGACATGCTGGTAACTCCTAAACTCACAGGACTTGTCTGCCTCTCATCTTTCTATGCTTACAAAGCCCTTGTAAGTAAGCATAAGTAAGTTGTTTAGCTCCAGGACAGCTGTTTTCCATCCTGCCCCCTGAGGCAGGTTGCTGCAGGATTGAGTGTGGTCCTTTTTGGCACAGCCTGAGTCTTGGATTTGGACTTGTCCCCATCCCTGCCTAGCACAGGGCTTCAGCACAGACATGAAGGAAGAGATAAGTACAGCCTTTGTGTGTGTCTGACTGGAAGCATGTCCTGTTTCCAGCAGCAATTGTGAGGGATGCTAGGAGCTTAGAAGAAGAATCAGGGGCATGTGTAGACCCATCACTCCCTGGCAGGCAGTCCTTGGCAAGCCGTGGTTTAAACTCTGCTTCCCCTGGCAAAGATGGTTTCCATCATGCTTAAGAGAGGATGGTTTCTCCAGGAATTTATAGCCTCTGTTATTATCACAACTTAGGCTTGTCCTCCAGGCTCTGTGGAAGTGCCCCCATCACCAAGGCTGCTGTTACTTTCTTGAGGGGCTGCCCCTTGCGGGTTCAAATCTGAGGAGGGTGCATCAGGCTGGGGTATGTCCTGCTTTTCAAGTCTGCAAGGACTTTCTGTCCTCTTGTGGTGGCCCATGTCACACCTGCACAGGGCTGACTTGACTGGCCAAATGATTGAAGAGACCAGGTCCTTGAGCATTTACCTGAAGAACAAGAAACACTTGGAGACGTTTTTCTCTTATCTTAATAACTTTCCAGTAGAACTAATGATAAATTGAGAGCTGCATTGCT